GCTTTGCTTCACACCCCTCTGGGCACAGCTGCAGGCCTTCGCCTGGTTTCTCATCCCACATCCTGGCCCCCAATACCTTCACTTCCTGGTCCCTGCATTGACATTACAGAGTCACGTCTGATGCCCAGGACCATGAGGCAGGCCGCTGGGGGAGCACTGTTATGCCCAGAGCACGTGGCCCTGGCCCCCGGCCTCGGAGCCCGGCCTGACCCCAGGCCCCTGCCGCGGGGCACCTCCGAGGGCGGGCGCAGCTGATGGCGTGTGAGGCAGCTGTTCCCACAGCTGTGCGGCCCCCTCGCTGCCGCAGCAGAGCAAAAGGATGTTCGTCTTGGGCCACACGAAGTTTTGACTTCATTGGGTGACTGCAGCTGATGCTGGATTTGCCCACATGCAAGTGCCACGTGGGCTCCGACTGTCCTGGCGTCGCAGCAGGTGAGAACATCGGGGAAGGTGTGGACTGTGGGCCTCAGCCAAGGCAACCTGGAGAGCAGCTCAGCCACGTGGCAAGGGCTCTGGGGGCACCTGCCGGAGCACGGCCTCCACTCCAGCACAGGGGATGGAACATGCCGGGAGGGGAGAGACCGTGCTTGCAGGCGCACGAACAGAGGGAAGGGCCCCGGGGATCCCACAGCAACCCGCATGGCACCTGCAGCTCCGAATCAGCTGGATCCAATGTGGGGTATGAAGAAGCTTTCTTAATCAACGGACCGTGGGCCTGAGCACTCCTGCCGCAAAGTTCAGGGCTGGGGTTTGCTGTGGTGTAAACTCACAACAGTTCCCAAGCACTGTGGCAGAGCTCACCCTCTGTGGGCATCGGTGCCAGAGACACGGCTCAGGGGGAGGAGATAAGGGGTTTCAGAAATGCGGGCTAGGAGAGAAAGATGAACCCAACTCAGGCCTGCCGATGGGGCCTGCCCCCACTGAGATTCATAATGTGCGCAAGACGCAGGGCCACGGTGTCTCGAGGATTGCTTTCTGCAGCGGGAGAGCCGGCTCAGGTAAAACCCCGTATTCCCCTGGATGGGGCAGACACAGTGTGCAATTCATCTCTCCATAGGAACGGAGAACACTTGGCATGCTTTCCAGACGACTGGCACAGAGGAGTCCCGTGTCTGTGAACCTAGAATCTTATCTACCTGCATCTGGAATTACAATGACCCCGCTGTGGTCTCCGGCATGCTCTCTGGACTTTCATTCACCTCAACAGGCTTTCTGCTTCCACTTTTGATTTCTTCCCTGAGCCACAGGCCATTTAGAATGTGTGGTTTAAGCTCCAGCTTTGTGACCTCCCCAAATTTTCCCTGTCAAGGATGTGTCAAAGATTTCTAATTTCGTTCTGCTGCATATTTCGAATGATTTCCATCGAGGTTTGTTGGCGGCGGGCACGTGGCCCACTGTGGAGAATGTTCCACGTGCTCTGCTGTTGGCAGCGGGCACTCTCGGTCAGTTGTTACACACTTTAATTCCTTTGGACTTCCATCTTGCAAAGCAATTTAATTTTTGTTCTTTACTTCCGAACATAGTGGAAGAGCAGTGTGTATTCAAATTTAAGGCGTCTTATTGCTGCCATTTTATTAACGTTATGGACCATCCCCCTCCAAATCCATATGTTGACATCCTTACCCCCAGCGTGACGCGGTCAAGAGGTGGGGCCTTCCGGAGGTGATGAAGTCATGAGAGTTGCAGAACCTTCATGACTAGGATTTGTGCCCTAATCCCAGGGCCCCGGAGAGCCCCTGAGCCTTCTGCTATGTGAGAACGGAGAGGGTACCATATGTGAACCAGGGAGCAGTTCTCACCAGACATCACATTGCTGGGCCTTGATCTTGGACTTCCAGCCTCCGGAACCGTGAGAAACATTTCTGTCGCATGTAAGCTACATAGTCTGTGGCGTTCTGTTATAGCAGCCCAAACTAAGACAATGAAGTTTTTCTAAAATATATTTATCCTTAAAATTATTGTACACACAGAAAGTATGTGTAACATATCTACATTTTAAAGAATATTACCAGGGGCGCCTGGGTGGCTCAATCAGTTGAGCGTCTGCCTTTGGCTCAGGTCATGATCCCAGGGTCCTGGGATTGAGTTCCAGGTCGAGCTCCCTGCTCAGCGGGGAGCCTGCTTCTCTCTCTGCCTCTGCCCCTCCCCCTGCTTGTGTGCTCTCTCTCTCTGTCAGATAAATAAATTTTTTTTTAAAGATTTTACTTATTTATTCATGAGAGATAGAGAGAGAGAGAGGCAGAGGCAGAGGGAGAAGCAGGCTCCCCGCAGAGCGGGGAGCCCGATGCGGGACTCGATCCCAGGACCCTGGGATCATGACCTGAGCTGAAGGCAGACACTTAACTGACTGAGCCACCCAGGCGTCCCAGATAAATAAATAAATTCTTTTAAAAAAATTTTATTTTGATTATAGATTCACAGGAAGTTGCAAAAGTAGTACAGAGATGTCCTACATACCCTTTACATAATTTCCCTTCCTGTTGTATCTTACATAATTAGGGTACAATATCCAAGCCAAGACGCAGACATTGGCATGCTGCGTGTTCATGGTTGTGTGTCATTTTATCACACGTGGATGCATGTAACCACCCCTGACCAAGACCCAGAACCGTTCCACCACCACAAAGACCTCCCTCCTGTGGCCCCCGTATGGTCCCACCAGCCCCTCCTCCCCCGCCCTAGCCCCTCACAACTACTAACACAGTCTCTGTCTCTCTGATTTTGTCATGTTGCCATAGAAATGGAATCATCCCATCTGTATGTGACTTGGTGGGAGTGGCTCTCCCAGGCAGCAGCATCCAGAGGGCGGCCCCGGTACCGCCGAACCCTACCTGCGGCGAGGACGCCCCACGGTGGGGTTGGCCAGCACCCTTCAAAGGACATTTTGGTTGTTTCCAGATTTGGTCGATAGAAGAAGCTGCCGTGAACAGTTATGTATAAATGTTATGTGAACAGACATTTTTATTTCCCTGGGATAAACGTCCGGGAATGCGAGTCCTGGGCCGTCTGGTAAGCGTTTGGTTTCATTTTTTTTGGAAAAAGAAATGACCAAACTCCTTTTGCAGAGTGGCTGGAACATTGTAGCGTAGGGCAGGCCGGGTTTCTCCGCCTCTTTGCCAACATATGGTGCTGCCACTAGGTTGCACCTTGGCAGTTCTAAGGGCTGTGTAATAGTTACGGGATTTTAAGCTACCTCTTTGCACTGCCTTTTAGACATCATCGATTTAATGCCCGAGTATTTAAGGGCCCATCCTACAGCACTACAGCAGGCCCACAGGCGAGCCGGCCGGAGGAGCTGCGGTCTGGAGAAGGAAGTAGGACGGGACACAATAAGGGAATCCCATTCCACAGGCATTAGGCTCTGCCGTAGCACCTGTGGTGGGGAATCTTTTACCCAATATATCCTTGAAAACTATTGTTAGTTTTTGCAGGGCGATAATGAGAGAATGATGTCTTCAAAAACAAGCCCCCGCCCCTTTTTAAGAGATACTGACATACTTACATGAGATGTTGTCTAGAATTCACTTCACAATAATGGGGAGAGTGATTAACGGATGGGGCATGAATTACACAAGAGTGGCCACAATAATCTCTGAAGCGAGGTGAGGGGTAATGGGAACCAATAAGACCATTTCATATTCTGCATTACTAGGCTTGAAATTTTTTACTTGAGAGTATTTTTAAAAAATCTTTGAAAATCTTTCAGAGGAATCCTATTTTGATAAGCCATCTTTTCCTCTAGCATGGGGGCAGATGACTAATTCTTTAGCGGAGCGCCAAAGGAAGTACCTGGCTCACACAACGGGCCGCGTGATAAACCAGTATAGGGATGTTCACGCCACCAGCGGCAGGTGGAACCTACGACCAAAGGAGGGGACAGCATGCTGGGATTTTTAAAAAAATAGAAACCTCTTCCCTGCCCGTGGTCCTAGTCAATTAAAATACTTGAAAACTACCCAGCAGATGGAGGCCGCACACCTTAATTCCCAACAATGCGGATGCTGGAGAACTAGGCTTGGTGTTCTGGGCAATTGGGCTTCCCTGTTCCTCACCTCTGGTCTAGACCTTCAGAGGGTTTATTTGAGGCCAAATCTGAGAACTCTGAGCAGACTCGCTTACTGAGGCACATACTGGGTATCACCCGTATTTTTAACCCTTGCTCATCTGGCAGGTTAAAGAAAAGCTGATGTCCTATGTACAGAAATCTGGAAAATGTCAGGGTTGGTGAAGGGTAAATATCTTTGTTGAATCAAGGATTTCTTGACGTCTCCGAGTAGCTGAATATGTTAGATGCCGAGGAGCGAGTACTGTCCTGGTGGCCTTCGAAGCTTTTCGGTGCTGATTTACAATGAAACACACTCCACGCTGTAACCTCGTTCACACCGTGCGCGCGCAGGGCAAGAATTTTCCGAACCGAGGCCCAAAGTGCCTCCCTCAAAGCGCGTTGTGAGAGGTACTTAGAGCTTGTAATGGCGCTGAAAAAGATGAGGGCGCGCCGCACGGTGATGATGAGCGGAGCGGGTGCCATCGGGGCTGCGGGCGCGGGTAGAGGACAGATGTCCGGCGCGTGTCGCTGTATGTGACACGTCCACGCTAAGTGCTTTCGCGTGCCTGACGCCTGTGTGCTACGTGTTCCGAGGGACGAACCTGGTCACGCGTGGAACGCACGCACCCTCTACAGGCGTCCGCGATCTCCCGAGGCCCGTCCCCTCGCTCTCCCATCAGCCCAGCTGGGCGTCGCACGGAAAGCGGCCGGCCCCGCCTCCCGGGACAGCGCACATGCGCGCCCAGCTCCCGGGTGCAGGTGCCGGCGTCTCCCCTCCCCCGCCCCGCGCCGCCGCCGCAGAGCCGGCGCCCCGCGGGGCCTTCCCACGCTCCCGCGCGCCGACGACGGGCGCGCGCACGCTGCCGGGCTCCGGGGGGCGCCACGGCGTCGGCGCCGGGCGCGCGCACGCCGGCGGCCCGCGGGGCGCAGGGCGTCGGCGTCGGCGTCGGGCGCGCGCACGCCAGCCCCGGCCGGCGGCCATCTTTCCTGCCGGCGGCTGCTCCCGGTGCGAGCGCGGCTCCGCGGCCCTGCAGGCGCCCTCGGCCTCGGCCGGAGCAGTGGGGAGGCGTGGATGAGGGGGGAGGTGAGGAGGAGCGGTCCCCCCAGTGTCGCCGCCTCGCCCCCGAGGGCAGGCCGGGCGGGCAGAGCGCGCGGGGCGGGCTCGGGCTCGGGCTCGGGCTCGGGCTCCGGCTCGGGCTCCGGCTCCGGCTCCGGCCCCGGCTCCGGCCCCGGCCCCGGCTCGGGCTCGCTCCCCGCCGCGGCGCAGTGCTTCCCGCGGCGACCCCTCCTCTCGGCAGACCCCTCCCCGCGGGAGGCCCCGCCCCCGGGGCCCGCCCCGCCCGCCCCGCCGCTCTCGGAGTCGGGGGCTCGTCCCGCATGGGCTAAGCCGTGAAGATGTTTAGCTTCGAAGGGGACTTCAAAACGAGGCCCAAGGTGTCCCTCGGAGGCGCCAGCAGGAAGGTAGGAGCGGCGCGCGTGCGTGCGGCCCCCGGCGGCGGCTCGCCCGCCCCCGGGGCTTCCTGGCGCGGCGGGGGAGGAAGGGCTGTGTGGGCCGGGCGCGGCGGCGGCCTGACCCCTTCGGTCCCGAGGCAGGCGGCCGGCCGCCGAGCGCGCCGCAGCCCTTGCGGGTCCGCGCTGGGGACGGAGCGTTTCTTCGGACGTGGGTTCTAGACGCTCCGTCCTCCTCGGCTTCGGGCGGCCGTTGCTCCTGGAACGCGCCCGAGGGCTCTTTGCTGTCGTGGAGGGCGAACGGGTGTATCTGTTACGGCCAGCCGCCTCTGAAATCGGGGCAGAGCTCTCAGCCGGCCACGCGACTGAATCCAGAGCCGGCGATTCCTCTTCACCAGCTTCTGGAAGCGCCGCCGGAGGGACTCTAGCACCGCGTTCCCGCTAGGCTCGGCCCCGTGTCACTCTCTTAGCTGCAGAGCGAGGGGGCGCCGGCGGCCGTCGCCCTGCGTCCTCCCTGGTGACTGGCACCTGCTGATTCGGGGACGTGCTCACAATAGGTGAGGGTGGGCGTTGCTTCCCGCGCTCGTCTCTCACGGCCCCTCCGCTGTCCTGGTTCGGGGCTGCCTTCTCTGCCTGTCTTGCTGTCATCAGGCTACAAATAAAAGCGTGCTCTGCGTGCTTGTTTGAAAAGTCTCAGTGAGTCTAGCTAGTTGATTGTTGACCAGAGAATTTTTTTGAATGTCTTTTAAATGCTTTGTATATTCTTTTTCGCCTCTTCATTAGCACATTCTGTACGTTACACTCAAATAACTGGGTTGACACACAATCCTCGGTGGATGCTCAAATCCGAGTAGGGACATCCTTTTAAAATCGGGCCCAGGGTGTGTGTGTGTGATGGTTTCCCGGGGCAGCGGAAGGGAACCCAGTAGGGAGTTGGCAGAGAACTGTGCCCATAACTTTCAAGCCTGAGTTTTGCATGGTAGTGGCTGGCTGCAGAACTAGGTACTAACTAGGTACTGTGTGGCTGCGGCACGGTTGGCATGGGTAACATTCAGTGGTTTGGGTAGTCGTGAAAATTACAAATGAGATAGAGGTGTTTCTGCCCTTGGAGTGTAGAAGAGGCCTTGGGGCCCTCCGGGCAGATCTAGGGTACACGTGAGGTAGAGAGCAGATGAATGATTGCACATGCACACAGCAAGCTGAGGACAGGCCATCACCTCAGAATCCATGTCACTTGTGACTTCTCTCATAGACAGGAGGGCCCCTGCATGCCCTGCTCGGGTGCTGTTTTCTCAACTGGTAACACGACTCTAGTCTGAGGAAATTCTTATCTATTGATCAGAATCTCGGGGAGATGGCACATCTTGTTTTTAGCTGTGCAAAACAATTTTTTTTTCTTTTTGATTGAGACTAAACATTAACTGTACGTGTCTTAGGTCATGTGCCTAGAAGAGCTTGAGGAGGTGACCTTGGTGCGACTGAAATTGGGGGGTGGGGTGGGAAGGAGAGGGCAGGGAAAAGGTCTTCTTGCTTGGAGTCTCGCTGAAGCCCAGTCCCACCAAGAACTCGGGACCGTGGCTGGCATCACAGAACTGTCCCTTCTTGAGGTAAGGGGGCTGAATTTTGTAATTCTGTCTGCCCCCCCATCAGTTGGTCTTTGGCTGCAGGCCACCCTTGGGGTGAGGGTGGGAGTGTGACACTGCTGGCCCTTGGCTGAGGGCAGTTGTCCTGGGAAGGTACTCAGGGGCCAATAGTGGTTATAACACACAGCGGCTGGGGGATGGGTGCTCTGGCCTGGAATCTGGGTGAGAAATCAACTGCAGGTTCAGCTGGAAGGATTTTTACGAATGACTGCACCCTTGTGACCACCCCCCCCCCAATCAAATAACATTCCCAGCATTCCATAGGCTCCCTCCTGCTCCCTTCCATTCAATATTCCTTCTCCCAAAGATAATTGCTATTTGATCCCTGTGACTGTTCGTTAGTTTTGTCTGTTGAACTTCATGTGAATGGAGTCACATACAGTTTGTTCCTGTTTTGGGGTCCGCATTCTGAGAGGTGGAGTTCACTCTCCTTGTTTTGTTGCATTGTGTGAAAACAGCATGGTCGATGCATTCTGTTTTTATGGTGTCTTCTGGAGGGCACAGCCGCTCATATGCTGGGTTATGCACACACTTAGCTTAGCTCTAGTGCACATACCTGCATTGTCTGAGGGTGTCCGTGGCCTCACTTCCTTTCAACATTCTTATTGTCAGTCCTTTAATTTTGGCAGTTCTGGTGGGGATGTAGTTTCATTGTAGTTACAGTTTTAATTTTGTTTCCTGGCAGAATTGTTGAGCACCTACAAATGCATATTTTTCCTTAATTCTCTTTGGGTACAATGTAATTCCTTCCCCTAATTTAAAAGGCAAAAGGTTATAAGGGTCTTTCCTTCATGTATTAAATTATTTGTAATTTTCCTCCTTTCTTGAACTTGGTGGAAAACTGAATATTGCCACCTTTTGAATACATCTTTTCTTTTTCCAAATTAAATGAATATCTTTAATGTTTATTTGTGAAGGCTCTGTCTAGCATCTGAAGCATAATAAGGAAACTTCCATGCCCTCATTATAATCTTGTTGGAGAGAGAAGACTTTAACAATTACAAGTCATATAATGGTAGAGAATAGTTACTACATTCTAGGTTTGTGTTAGGGCTGGTCCAGGAAAGGGTAGAGCTGGTTGGGGCTTAGTCTTGAAGGATGGATAGAATTAGGGTCGGTGGGAAACAAGAAGGGTATTCTAAGTGGGTGGAAGGGTATACACAGAGTAAGTATATACTGGATTCCGCTGATTCTAAGTTACACAGTTTCCTACTTTTTAATATTTCTGAAATCAGGATACATCTTGGTGGCATGACATAGTTCATGGGTAATATTTGTTTTTCCTTTCTTGTAGTGCAGAGAAGAATATCTTAGGGACCATTCAATTACAAGTATAGAAATCCACTGAAAATTGCTTAGTAGGGGGGAAAAAGTGTATGGGAAGAATATGATGGTATCTCAAAGAACGTAAGGACAGAAACGTACCCAGATACCAAGTCATTAGCATCAAGGTGGTTACTCTTGGTGTTGGGCTGCACTGTCTCCTTCATTCTTGGCTTTCTGCTGACTGGCTTTCTCTCTTTTACTTGCATGTGACCTTGGCAGTGTATGATTTCCTAGTTGAGGTGCCCTACTGAGACTGTTGGATCTCAATTCCATTTCTCAGGAGAGGAAATCTGATTGGTCTGGGTCAGCTTCCCACCTGATGAGCTGAGTCTGGGATGGGGGATGGAATCTTTGGTACAAATAGAGCAGTCTAGATGTATGAGTTGTGGAGAGCAGATTCTCCAAGAGGAGGAAGTGGTTGTTGAACAGAATGTCTAGGTTTCTGTGGACATAAGTAGAGATGTGTAACAGGCTATTGATTGTACATGTATGAAATGAGGGAGAAATATGGGCTAGACATGCAGATTTGGTAGTTACCAACAGATAGATGACGCAGAAAGAAGTCCCGAGGGGAAGGCCTGGAGTATGCGATGGGGCGTGGCTTGTGGCATGTTGTAACATCTAATAAGTGAGGAGAATATTTAGGAAAGAATCACACCTGGCGTGGGGCTGGGGCAGGTCGGGGGGAAGCGACCACAGTGCCAGGTGCTGCAGGGGTGCAGTGAGGAAACACTAACAAATACCAAGCCCGGGGTGACTTTATGGGGATAATAGGCCAGGGTAGTAGGACTTGGAAGTCAGATTGCAGTACATCAGGGAGTGAATGGGAAGTCAAAAAGTGGCTAGATCTTTTTTGAAAAGGACCTGAAGAAGGTTGCATTCAGGGTCTAAGGAAGGTTTTGTTTTGGGGGGGATGGGAGAAACTTGAGCAAGCTATAGACTGGGGAAGGGGCAGGTAGAGGAGGGAGGCGTTGCAGAGCTTTCAGAGTCCTGGGGGAAGGGAGTGGGAAGAATTAGGTGTGAGCAGAAGAGAAAAATATATTTTTTAAATATTTTATTTATTTATTTGTCAGAGAGAGAGAGATCCCAGGCGGGGGCTCCTCACATTTCCCCAGTTAATTAGCGTCTTGCGTTAGTGTGGTTCATTTGTCATAATTGATAAGCCAATACTGATACATTGATGTTCACTCTTTGTGTTGTATTTTCTATGGGTTTTGACAAATGTATAATGACATATTATCCACCCTTGAGTATCATCCAGAATAGCTGATTGCCCTAAAAATCCTCCCGCCTTTACTTATTCATCCTCCCCCATACTCCCTGCATCCTGTATTACAAGTATTTAGTTTTATAAGAAACTGCAGAACTGGGGGCGCCTGGGTGGCTCAGTCAGTTTGGCGTCTGACTCTTGGTTTCAGCTCAGGTTATGATCTCAGGGTCCTGAGAGCGAGCCCCTCGCTCAGCAGGGAGTCTGCTTCTCTCCCCCTCTCTCTGCCCCTCCCCCCGGATGTGTGCACTCTCTCTCTAATAAATAAATAAATCTTTAAAAACAAAACAGAACTGCCGAAGTGTCCTCCAAAGTGGGTGCAGCATTTTGCACTGCCGCTGGCAAGGAATGAGAGTTCCTGTTGCTCCACATCTTTGCCAGCATTTGGTGATGTCAAGTGTTCTGGATTTTGGTCATTCTGATAGGTATGTAGTAGTATCTCATAGTTTTAATTTGCATTTCCTTGATGACACATGATGTGGAGTATCTTTTCATATGCTTATATGCCATCTGTATATGTTACCTTTTGCCCATTTTTTAATTGGGTTTTTTTTTTTTACTTATTTTTTTTTATTAATTTTTTTAAGTGGGCTCCATGCCCAGTGTGGAGCCCAATTCGGGGCTTGAACTCAGGACCCTGAGATCAAGACCTGAGCTCAGATCGAGTCAGATCCTTAGCCGACTGAGCCACCCAGGTGCCCCTCCATGCTGTTTTTTTTTTTTTAAGTTGGCACTTGGTATATGTGTTGTCATGCTACTCTGTGTACATTGCAGTG